CAAGTAGGTGAAGGAAGGAGCCGCCAGGTCCCTTAAGGCCCGCACCTGGAACCGTCCTCTACCATGAGTTCCATCACATTTTCTTGGTTGAAGCAGGGTGCAAGACCAGCCCATATTTAAGTGGAGGGTGAAAAACTCCACCTTTGATTGGAGGAGCAGCAGGAGCCTACAAAGAAAGGAAGAGTTGTTGACCGTTGTATTTGGAGATTGCTTACCATACGAGGTGGAAAAAGTTGTGGTGTATTTTAAATGTTTACATTTAACACCTTAACACTTTGGATATTCAAGTACGTAATGACTATGTATGATGAACCTCCTTTGAGAATAATATCAATATAAACTTAATATGTCAATATATCAATATAAAGTTATTCTAAATTTAAGGTGGGGCCCAAAGAACCCTTCTTGCTTCATCTGGTCTTAGAGTCTGTTGTCCTAGAGCCTGTCTCAGAGTCTGGGAAGGAAGTTCTTTCTCTTTCTGAGTCCAGAATGACTGTGTAATTTTAACAGGCGCCAACAGTCATTCATTCCCAAGGGCACGTGGTCTTCTCAAAGTTCTTTTTCTTCTGACTGTAGGTATAGTGAGATCATAGGGAAAGCTCCTGATTGTCGCCCGGCCAGGGCATTATTAGCCTCCCTGCCTACATAGTAGCGCTAATATTCCCCCACACGGTCTGCCCCTGCAGAGTGTGATAGGGGGTTATTAGTCCATGTGCCTGCGGCGCAGCAGCCATGCCCCGGATGGAGAGGTGGCGCCTCGCCTGTAGGGTGAAATGATTCTGTGGCACACACACGAAAAAGACTTAATAGTGCCAATTAGCAGTGGAGGTGACGCGTCCTGTGGATCAGAAATGAGGGGGAAGTATTGGGGGACTTTGGGAAGCTTGTCTAAGAAATCTAGGGCTTTGGGTAGAGCCCCGGCTGTGCACTGGGCAGGAAAATGGAACCGAGCAGAAAGGCAGCCAGGCCAGGTGCTCGCGTCAGCTCCTTGCAATGGGACAGACTACTGTGGCTTCACACAGACTGCTATTTTGGGACATAAGGTTTTAGGTTTCTTTTTTAAGTTGTTTGTGTTTTCTGTAATCAGGCCCTTTCTGTTCTCTTAATGTTTAGTAGATTTTTAAAAGGCTAGCCTGGTCAGCGGTGCTAAGGGGAATCAAGAAAGAGTTTTTTTCCAGTATGAAGCAGAATTTTAAAGGGGAAGCAGTTTACCAACCGCCTGACTGTGGGAACACGAGTGTTGCTCAAGTGAGAGTGCCTCAAAGGGAAGGTAAACTGAGGGCAGCCGAGCTGGAAACTCCTGTTCAGAAACTCTCCCCACACGAAGATGTGTTTATCAAATCTGGGTCTCTCCCTCCATCCCCACAGTCTGTTACTGTGGCCCAGATGAGAGGCAAGAAAGGACCTCAATGAACAATGAGATGGAAGGCTGAACTGGGGTTGGTGGTCCAGGGCTGGCACAGGTAGGTAATGTGGAGTTTGCTCCCAAGAATGGAGCCAACAAACATAAAATTTGGTCTTAATCAGCAGTTGGTGGAGAGGGATTTCAAGCTGAGCCTCAACCACTAGGCACCAAACAGGCAGGCATATTACCAATTTTTTTCTAGTTATTGAAGGAGGGGACACATACAGACTGCAGAAGACCCCAACCAATGCCTAGAAGGGGATGAGTGAGGACGAGGGGGTTAGCATAGCCCTTCAAGCAAACTGGCTCACAGGGCAGAGCTTAGCTAGACAGCTGGAATCTAAAGCAGAGATGGGGCAGAATTAGGGATAAGGAAAGGCTGCTGATTGTGATACATGCAGTTGGGGTACCACCAGGCACTGTGGCCAGGACACTTGGAAGACTTGAATCTTTTTAGACCCCACTCTGGTCTGGTTTTCTGGTACCTTTAGTAGCTTCGGCTGTGCAGAGCTGGGAGTGGGCAGTCACTGTCACTGAGAACGTCCCAGGCCCAGCCTCTCCCTCCCAATCTGCTTTAGTTATCTAAAACTGACTGACACACTACACCAAAATTTAGTGGCTTAAAACAACAGTCTTTTACTTTGCATTTCAGGCAGGGGAAGGAAGGACCACTTTGCTCCATATGGCTAGGGCTGGTGACACAAAAGGCTGGGGACCAACAGGGCATGTCTCCGCAGTCTCCCCTGTGTTCTCTGCAGCATGGAGGTCCCAGGGCAGCTGACTTAGTAGTGGCTCACAGCTCCAAGAGCAACGATTTCCAGAGGCCTGGGCAAAAGTTGCAAGACATTTGTCATCTAGCTTCAGAAGTTCCACGATATGGTGATTTCAACCATATTGGTGATTCTATTGATTTAACAAATTGTTACCGAACAAGAGGTCCGGGGGAGGGGCAATACAATATTTGGCCCACCTAGGGATGCAGAAATATTGCTACACAACAGGGGCCCCTCCTAAAAACAAAATACTAATATCTACTGGGCTCTTCTGTCTGCCACCAATTGGAAAGACATCTCTCAATGCCAGAGATTTGTGAAAAGGAAACAAAATGTTTATTTAATGCTATTTAGGCTTAATGCCTCCACCAAAATATCAAAGTCCTTTAGGGTATATTCTTACACCCACACAGCGCTCCCTTCTCCCACTGTCCCAACTCCGGGTACCGTAAATCAGGAAAAGAGCACACGTCTGTGTTGCAGGCCGCTGGCACCGTCAGCTGTGTCACCGTGCAGGCAGGATCTCTAGTTAATCCAAAGTACTGTAGTACCCTCTCATGGTCCACTGGCAAGAGTCCTTTGTACCCAGTTCCAGTCAAAGTCTCTCTTTCCTTTCAGGCCCTGCGGCCAAAGGGGGCACCCCAAAGCAGCGTGGGCCTCTTCTACCAAAGCTGCAGGAGTCCGTCCGCACTCCACCAAAAGCATGTGGCTTTCTTCTTCACCTGGCTGCAGGGATCTCCATTCTGGCAAAGCTGCGTGGTTTTTCCCTTTCACCTGGGAAAGAAGGGGTCCGCACCCTGCCAAAACCACGTGGCTCTCTCTTTCACCTCACCAAGAGGGGGTCCTCACTCTGCTGAAAACGCGTGGCTCTCTCCCAATGACTGCTGTGTCTGGTTTTTAAATCTTCCCACCCATCTTCCTCTGTACTCCTATTTCCGACTCCTCCCAAGATCAGTTACACCTGCCAGTATTTCTGTATTAATACAAGTTTACTGGGCTGCCATCGTTAGTCTGGGCAGTAATCACCCCATGTCCTAGAGCCAATCTTCTCCAAGCCCCTACGCAGGCGCTGTAACTTGGGGGACCTGCCCCCAGTTATATCTTGGGGGAAGTGACTTCATCCCCCTAGCTCCAAGCCTGGCCACAGCCATTTAACATATCCAAGTGACCGCCAAAGGCTATAGATATGTTAAAAGACAATGCCATGGATTAGCTGCAAGGCTGTGGCTGTACAAAACAGCCCTGCATGTTCCTGCTCCATGTGTCCCTTCCCCCCAACTCACACCTGTGGGGGGGGAGGGTGAGGACATCTTATATGTCTCTCCATTATTCCTATACACTTTGAATTCTGGACACCATTCCAAATCTTTTTTTTGGCGGGGGGGGGGGCTGGCTGCACCCTGTATCACTATGTCCTTAGCAAAGTCTCCCAGCTGAATTCCCTGTCCTCAGATTCTCACTGATGGCAGTGGGGAGGCAGCAATGCACAGGGTAGAAAAAGTGAGGGTTTCAGAGCCTATTAGACCTGTATCCTGGTCCAGGCAGGATCCACCACTCACCAACCGGTTGAGCTTGTTAGGTTACTTATCTCATGCTGCCGTGTTTTCCCAGCCCCAGATGCTGAGCTCTGAAGTCTGTCCTCTGACATTCGTTTGTCTGTGCCAAGGCCAGTTTCCTAGGGCTGCTCCCAGCCCATGACCAAGCACAAGAGGCCTATGCCTGGAAAGTGCCAGACTCCTGGGATAGGCCTGTGATTTGGCTCAAGCACCCTTCAGGGCCTTGCTGAACTTTCTCAGAGTTGCACTGTAGTATAAGATGCTTCCTTCCACCCGACTTTCCTTCCTTGCCTCTCTCCTTCACAAGGATCACACCTGCGTTCCAGGTCACACTCTCTGTTTCCCTCATAAATCTCTTGCACAGTACTACTGTCTGGCACTGCTTTTGAGGGACTAGGACAGCCACATGCTCACAGGGCTGCAGTGGGTAATAAATAAATGGGTGTATGTAGGAGCCCAGTCAAAGCCTGACATTCATTCCTTTAACAGTTATTAAGTCCCTGCTGTGTGTAGGCTTTAGGGTGCCTGGTACGTACAGGTGAGCAAAGCTGATGCCAACGTCAGGACCACCTGCTGGAAGCTTCCTGCTGACTTGCACTGTTGAGAAATAAAGTCCCAACTCTTCTGTAGAAGAGACACAAAGAACCCTTTAAAGTGTGATCTTAGGAGGCCTCCACTCCTCCCAGGGCACAATCTGCAACCTGAGCCTAGAATCAAAAGGAACTTCTTTTTTCTCCTACAATCTTGCTCTTCCATCCCCAGTGTTTTAGCACACCTTTTGGAAAGCCTCTTCCCTCCCTGTACACACCCCTCAGAGACAAACCCTTACACATCCACCAAAACCCAGTTCATTTGTGGGGTCCTAGGTCACAGGGAGACATGCTTGTTGGCACACATCTGGGCACGGATCTCGTAAAAGCGAGGTTACATTGTTCTGTTCTGTAATTGCTGTAACAGTGGCTCTGCTAACTTGCGAAGTGATCTAGATAGAGCTAGGGCAATGATGCATCCATCCTGAAAGCCCGGGGCTCGGCACTTGGTAGGCCCGCAGTACGTGTCTGCAGACTGAATATGTGAATGAGCCAAGGAAGAGGCATGATTTGCGGAGTGACCGTGAGGCCTGCAGCGAGAGGGCGGGGTAGTGGCAGGGTCTGGCAGGGGTCTGCAGCTACAGGCGCGGAGACGGGGCACGGGTAGCGGGGGACAGCCCGGGATGGGCGCGGCTCTCGCAAGCCGAATCCCCGCCTCCGCTGCGGGGCACATGACTGCGGGCTCGGCCTCCGCCCCGGCCGCCTCCCGGAGCAGCTGCTGGCGGTGGCCCCCGGAGTTTGCGGCGAGCGGGCTGGAGAACGTCACGGCCTGCGCGCTCCCTTCCTGGCTCCGGAGCTGCGCCAGGCGGACGCCGTGGATGCCCTAGCGGGTAAAACCGAAACCAAAGAATCTCGTGCCCGTCCGGGGCCAGCCGGCCAACCGGCCGGCCAGGTGTCCGGAGGACCCTCTCGCCCCTCCTCGGATCACCGAGCCCAGCTCCTCGACTGGGCGGGTCGACCGGGCGGGTCGACCGGGCTGCGACCCCGCCACGGCAGCGGCCTCTCGGCTTCCTGTTGGGTCCCCAACATTCGCCCCCTGCTGGTGAGCGGCGCGCAGAATGGCCCGGTGCTGCTTCTACGCGGTGGGGACCCTGTCCTTGCTCCTGCTGGTGACCAGCGTCACGCTGCTAGTGGCCAGGGTCTTCCAGAAGGCCGTGGACCAGACAATCGAGAAGGTGAGGTGGAGCTGTGTGTGTGTTTGTGTCCGCGCACCCTGGGAGATGCCGCGGGTGGCGGGGCGGGGGAGGGGGGGGCGAAGCACTTCCAGTCCCCCCTCCCACGGCTGAACCTTGAGCAGGGAAGACCTGCACCTCTGCAAACTCTCCGTGTTAGAGCGCTCCTTTCTTCCTCGTCTTCCCCGGGTTAGTAAGCAAGGATTAAAGAAGGATGAAAAGGAATGGCATAACTATGGTATACTCCCTTTATAACAATAAGACTGTGGATCTAGACTTTTTTTTAAAGGCGTGCCCTTGTGTTCCATCATTTGTATCTCCACTCCCATCTCTGCCCCATCCCTCCCTACACCCAGATCTCTGTTGGGCCCATACTCATTTCCCTTCCACTTCGTGAGAAAACAAAACTAAATGAAAGACACAACAAAAGAGGCAAGTTGGTTGGCTACTTGCTGTGGCCTTTGAAGGGGTGTGGGGCTGGGGTTGAGAAGCAAGTGTGTGGTCTATTGTGTTCTGGCCTTCCTGGGCTGGGCAGGACCGTGGGCGGGCTGGGCAGGACCGTGGGCAGCCCGGGCCGTGGGTAGCCAGGCCAGGCCTCTGGGCTGGGTGCCATTTCAGTCCATTCGAGTCTGTGCCTGTTCGCCTCCTTAACAGTGTGCTATTCTTGTACCAGCAGTGCGTTGCTTTGTCTCATCCTCCGTCCTTGCTCTTCTCAAACAGCCATAAGCTTCAGAAAAAGATGCATTATATTGATTCTTGGAAGAATATGAATCTGTCACCTCTCATTTAGTGAAAGGGCTGGAGAGCTAGCTAGTCATTTTGGAAGGCTTCTCCATCATTTGACCTCACGGGTGATCATTTCTTCTGCCCTTTCACCCAGAATCACCAATCTGTGTGGAAAGAGGAACAAGAGAGAGTTTTACTGTCATCATTTTTTCCTTAAAACACACACACACAAAACATTGGAGCAGCCTAATTTCTCCTTCTGGTTTGTACTTGCTGCAAGCCAGATAAAACATCTCACGGCTTGTCCAGTTTGGTCACTGCACCCACTCCCTGCCAGTAAAGTTGTCTCATTCCAGGTGGCAACAGACATGGTCCTTTAATAGAAGTTTCCCAAACCTCTGTTGGGAATATACAACCATCAATTACTTCAAATGTGGCAGTTAAAGGCAACTTAAAAAAAAACCCACCACCCAGGGAAAGCATAATTTAATTTTTTTAAATTCACATTGCCAAGGGGAGATAAAGCCCATTGTCTGAGTTTCTTAAAGACCATTGTTTTCCCTGAGCATTCATGTTCAAGGAGAAAACTGAACTGAATCTTCTTCACTCCTGCCCACCCGAACATCCATGGCAAAACTATTTAAGGATGTAAACTCTTGCTTGGGTGACTGGAGTTAACCCAATTATAGTCAATACATGAATTTTCTCACGTGGCTTTGAAAGGCTGTTTCAGGAGAGCCCTGTAAGATGATGAGCTCCCCAGCGCCTAGATATCACCCGCACTCGGATGCTCTGTGGGTCTGTACTTCATGGGGGAAGGGGTAGCTGTACAGCATCTAGGCTGGAGCTTGAGTTTGCATTGAGATTTGGTAATTAGCTTTTCACGTGGTTTTCTCCATGGGGATTGGGCTTTGGGCCAAGTAATAAATTTTAGGTCAGAGTAAGTGGGCTTTCAGAGTTGTCCACCCCCACTAGGAACACCACGTGATGTGGTATATGAAACCAAACAGCAGGGCTAGCTTCAGTGGAAAGATATGGGACTATCGTAATTCATCTGGAGGTTATGTGTTCCCATCATCGCCATTCTGCTCCCCTGGATCACCTGTAGCATCGTGGGATAGTGGGAAAGAGTGAGGGTTCAGCAGATCAACGCTCCTGGGCAGGAATCCTGGCTCCACCAGGGCAGTTGCTGGCTGGTCTTCTGCTAGGCAGGTGCTTAACTTTTCCTGATCCTTGATTTCCCCATCTGTAAATAGAAGGGTTATAAGAATTCTTAAAGAAAATGGGTATTTTCAAGGGATATAGTTAGTGCTTTGTAAATGATAACAGTTTTATATTTTGTGAGAAGCCACATAAACATAGAAAAAAATAATAAGATTTCAAGTCAGACCCCTGTGTTGAAATCCTAGCCTTGTGATTTATAAGCTTTTTGACTTTGAACAAGTTACTTAACTTCTCTGAGCCTTGATTTCATTATTTGGAAAAGCAAGGATGTTAGCTGTCTTGGGCACTGTGCTGCATTTACCATAAGACTCCCAAAGCTTAAGCTTCTGGCCCCTTACTTGCACAGGTCCTTTCAAAATCCAGAATTTTCTTTTTCTTGGGAAGGGCCCCCTCACACAGTGTCAGCTACACACCAGTCCTGGACCTGCCTCTGTGTGTGTGCTGTCGTGAGACGGAGTGCGGCATCTGTGTAGAGCACTCAGCACAGCATCAGGCACTGAATAGGTGATGAATTGTGGTCATTATTTCCAGTAGTGTTATGAACAATTCATTCACAACTCGACTTTAACATAGTTGTGATATAATCCACCCTTTTACTCCCTGTTCTTAGTTGTCTCATCTGAAGATTGCCCATGCCCTGGCTTGTCTACATCAAAAGTGGAAGAGAGAAAAGGGATGACATTCTGATGAGTTGGTTTGGCTAATTGCAAGAAGCTTAGTAACATAATTCCTATCAGAAGAATTTTTCCTCAAGTGATAATTGCCCGTGAGTTTTGCAATGATCAGTGGTGACTGAAAGGAGATTTTAATTTGGGCCAGTGCACACAGTGGAAGGAACCAAGACTAGTTGGTCTCACCCTGGGCAAACCCTGTAGTTGTTTCTGCATCATTTTTCTCAAACGCAAAAGAGGCATAGAGATGCCTCCCTCCCTTACACCCCACTCACTTCCTGGGGGATATTCTGAGCCATGAGCAGGCCTTCTCTATCAGGCATGTTGATCTCCCTGAAGACAGAGCTTTGCACAGACCCAGCAATCTCTTTTCCTCTGTAGAGCACAGAAGGACAGGTTTTATGTTACCTGTCATTTCATTTGATGAGCCCACCGATTGCCCTGGCGCCAGCGCAGTGCCTGGTACGTGGCAGGAGCATAACGAATGCCTGCTGCCTCTCTATTGATCTTTTGGTTGAAAGAACAGTGTTCTGAGAATCAGCAGAATGTGGTTAAAATTCCTTTTGTTCTCACTAACAAAGACTTGGATTAAACGAAACAAGACAAGTAGCAAGTTACTGAACCCCTCCAAACCCCAGTTTCCTCATTTTGAAATTGAGGGTAGCAAGGAGAGCTTTTTTAGGGTTGTTGCAAGAAGGAAAGAAAGTGATTGGTGGAAAGCATCTAGCAAAGTCCATTGTACAATGCCAGGACATTAACAATTACATTATTGTTTCTGTTTATTCTTTTCTTATCTAGAAACTGAAGCTTATATAGTCATTAAGGTTCCTTCTAGCTCCCAAATTCTGGGTTTCTATTAATGGTCATGTGACCTGTGCTTGAGAGCAACATTGCAGCTCAGAATATTAATTTTTGCCTTAGATTTGAATTTGACTTCCGCCAAGATGGAGGCGTAGGTGGAAATACTTTGCGTCCTCGTGCAGCCAAATCTAAAAACAACAAAGTTTCAACAACAATAAACGCAACCAAACCACACAGAAAATTGACAATACGGAGTCCGAAAACAACGAAATACTCAGCTAATACTCAGCTAAACCGGTAAGAGGGGGGAAGCCAGCAGAGGAGCGGAGTGGGTTGGCCAAAAAGATCCCCGACCAGGAAGCTGAGGGTGCGGATCCCAGGTGCGGGCTAGCTACGGGCAGACACAGGGAAGAGGCGCTGCTGGCTGTCTGCGGTTGGTGGAGCATTTGCGTTCAGATAAACCAGTGAAGAGGCGAGCATTGAGACCTCACGGTGCCGGGCGGCGGGCTCGCACATTTTTCTGCTCAGATAAACAGGCGGGGGGCGAGTGGTGGGATGGACTGGCCAGCAGAGAGGACCGCCATTGCTCCCTCTCTGACCCCGCCCCCACATACAGCATCACACACCAGCAACCTGGGTGGCCCAATCCTGGTAAACAACTAAGGCTCCACTCCTCATATTTAACGGGCACAAACAGACCAAAAATGGCTCAAGAACAACTCAGAGCCCCAGAACCAATAAATGTAAGCGATGAAGAAATAGCTAAACTTTCAGATGCACAGTTCAAAACGCTGGTGATCAGGATGCTCACAGAACTGGTTGATTTTAGTCACAAATTAGAGGAACATATGAAGGCTAAACTAATTGAAATGAATGGTAATGCACAGGAAACCAATAGTAATGAAAAGGAAACTGGGACTCAAATCAAGGGAGTAGACCAGAAGGAAGGAAAAAAATGACCAAACAGAAAAGAAAGAAGAAACAAGGATTTAAAAAAATGAGGAGAGGCTTAGGAACCTCTAGGACATCTTTAAACGTTCCAACATCCGAATTATAGGGGTACCAGAAGGGGAAGAGGAACAGTCATGAGTGGAAACCTTATTTGAACAAATAATAAAAGAGAACTTCCCTGTTCTGGCAAAGGAAATAGACTTCCTGGAAATCCAGGAAGCTCAGAGAGTCCCAAAGAAGTTGGACCCAAGAAGGAACACACCAAGGCACATCATAATTACATTAGCCAAGATTAAAATGAAGGAGAGAATCCTAGAAGCAGCAAGAGATAAGGGGACTGTCACCTACAAAGGAGTTCCCATCAGACTGTCAGCTGATTTCTCAAAAGAGACCTTACAGGCAAGAAGGGGCTGGAAAGAAGTATTCCAAGTCATGAAATCCAAAGACCTACAACCAAGATTGCTCTGTCCTGCAAAGTTTTCATTTAGAATGGAAGGACAGATAAAGTGCTTCTCAGATAAGATCAAATTCAAGGAGTTCATCATCACCAAGCCCTTATTATATGAAATGTTGAAGGGACTTACCTAAGAAAAAGAAGATAAAAAAGATGAACAGTGAAAGGACAACAAA